TGATCAAAAACTAAATCTCTAGATACTGTCAATTCCACTTTTGCTTTGCTGTATTTTGAAAATTACCGAAAATTAACGTAAATTACCGTAATTTACCCAATGTTCTTAGCAAATTATAAATTACTCATAAGTTGCCATCACTACAATTTGGACACTATCAATAGAAAGCATCAATTTCTGAGTGTGATACATTAAAAATTAACCACCCACTCTGAGGCTCAAATTTCACGGAATCTTCAGTGGGACACCCGTTATTTCCTATTGTGAAACGAGCTCATCAGCTATACCTACGGCAATGACAGGGATTGTCATATTTGACAAAAAATCCATTGTAGAGAAAATACTGATATACCCAAAATCGCGAAAAATTACAAAAACTGTCAGTCGGGTGTCCCACTTTTTATGCTCACGACTGTACATGGTGAGTCACTATATTTTGACACCCACCTGCCTCCTGTTATATACCTACCTTTAACTGTTTCGAAAATATTGACAGTTAAAAATTGACTTTTTTGCAACTTTGACAGGCTGTAAAACCTAAATTTTACAGCAAAACCGATTCCACATTCTCGTCTGTCGCTTTTCATAAACTATCATTTGACACCAACTTTGAATTTAACCGGAGATTAAATTCAACCGGAATTTTCAATCATGGATTAACTTCAAAGATGGTGTGAAATCCTAGTTTATGGAAAACTAAGATAAGAATGTATGATCGGTTTTGCTGTAAAATCAACCGTTCAGGTTTTAAAGTCTGTCAAAGATGCAAAAAAGGCCATTTTCAACTGTCAATATTTCTGAAACAGTTGAAGATCGGTATTTGACATTGAACATGAAATATGTTTAGAATGTTCCGCAAAATCCAGAAATGTCATAATATACAGGGGGTACTATTTAAAAAAATAAAGTTGATACCAGTATGATAAAAAATATATCAAAATATTTCAAACAAAAAACAAAATAGACGTGTCTGAGCGATTTTTCAGAAATTTCACTGTTTTCAAAATAATGAATTTATTTTCTACTTTACTATTATAGATCCATAATACCTAGGAAACGAAATACGTTAACACACCTATAACAACCTGATCCATAACGCCCGCTTTTGCGGGCGTTATGATCTATAACGCCCGCTTATAATACCTTAAGGTGTTTTTGTTTTTGTTGTTCTATTAATTTGCACTTTACCCTAGGCAGCCACTAAATGTCTGACCGAAAATAATTTTCGGTCTAGCCAGGATTCGAACCCGGTCTACCATCAACGTTTCCCATGTAGTCCAGCGCGTTAACCCACAGGACCACCACCGTTGCCTTGCCTTATGAGATGTTTATAGATATATCAATTTATTTCGTTTCTATGTACAGGTCGCAGGTACAGGTACAGGTCACAGGTACAGGTACATGTCAAAATACAAATCAATATTCTGTCGCACAAGTTTAACTGATTTTGTTAATAATAAATTGATGAAAAAATATTGGGCTGAGTAGAAAATAAAGCATTGTATGCACCACGGGGATTTCAAGATTATAATCCCCTTGGTACATAAATAGCTATTATGCCGAACTTTATGAACTCACTGTATATAATATGTTTATGTTTCTTCCAATAGTTTTGGAAATATCTGGAGTATGGTTATTCTAAAACCTATTCAGGCAACAGAGTGTTTTGTGACAGGTGACAGGTAAATCAAAGTGAAATATATTCAAAAAACTACTGTGTTTGAATCTTATGCCCGTATTACATCTGTGTATTTTTCCGTGTATTTATTCATGTAGTTCAGGGTGCCAACATTATTTTGTTTTTCATATTACTGATTTATGATGTTGCGTTTGAAGTTTTTCGGTTGTCACCCTGAACTACATGAATAAATACACGGAAAAATACACAGATGTAATACGGGCATTAGTTTGAATAACTAAACTCCAGATATTTCCAAAGCTATTGAAAGAAACATTAACATAAACTAAGCGGCAGATGAAGTGGGACACCCGAAAAATTGCCTAATTTTGACTTGCTATAACTTCAACATTTCTTTGCCGATCTTGGATTATCAGGCAGGGTTACAAAGCGCCATCTTTGGTCTATGCGTCAGTGTCGTCGTACATTTTTTTAAAAAATGCCTTCTCGTTATACAGGGTGTGAATGTAAGGCGGCGAAAAATTTCCATTTTTTGGCGAAGAATATGGAAAAGATGGAGGGTCCAATAAAGTTATTTCTAGTGTTGACTGTGTTGACTCGATCACTAGGTCAACACCTCGAGACGTCTTTGCCATTTTTTCGATACATTGCGTTGCTATGGAAATATGGCCATTTTATGGTATTTCGTTTTACTCTTGAAATTAGAGGTTCTTTAATTAAAAAATTAACAGATTCCGTTTAAATTGCATCATGGAATGACTTGTATAGAAACTGGACAACACCAGTGGCGTGGAAAACGGAATTTATGAAATTGAAATTTAAAAAAAAATCGATTTATTTGAAAATTTTAACGGTTTTGTTGAGCGTTACAGTTGAAAAGGTGTTATAAATAACTGTGATGAGTTTTATTTTGATTATCAGAGGCGTTTAGTGAAAAAAAAAACAGTATTTTTCATGTTATTTAATGTTAACGAGTGAACAGGCCTGTTAACGGTACTGCTGCTCACTGACACGGTGGAGGATCCCAAAAAAGAACAAATCCTCGTCAGGATCGACTAGTAGTACGTAATGCAATTGAAAACAGAGTTCGGACTGTCAAGAGAATCCTAACGCATCTGTAGTTGAATGTTTCAGCAGACGCCATTAGAAGGCGCCTACATGACCAGGGATTAAATTCTCCCATCGGGCAAAGTGGCCACTTTTTACAAACATTCATCAGGAGAACTGAAAAAAATGGGCCTAGTAGGAACACCTGAATTGGGATTTTTGGTGGAGAGACTGTCTTTTCGTTGATGTATGCCGTTTTAACCTCTACAATTCTGACGGTCAATTGCTTATCTGGCGGAGATGGGGAGAACGTTTTTTAGAAGAAAACATGCGTCCCGAAGTTGCATTTGGCGGTGGAGGATTGACAGTTTGGGTCGGTATCTAACACATCGGAAGAACATAACTCGTCGTCGTATTTCGGGGCAATGTTAACGGCCAAGTGTCCCTGGATAAATGTCAGATTCCGCAAGTTCTCCGGCATGCTCGAAATTATGGCGGGGATTTTGTTCTTGTAGACGATAATGCTAGTGAACCGGTGACCACCAACTGATAGGTGACTGGACACTGAAAATTTTCATGAGAAATGCACTGCCACTAGTCAGCACCAATCATGATTTATGTTCACCTTGTTTCAACTGACTTTGGAAAACATATACTCAAATATTAAAAGAAAAAATACTTTTATTTATCAAATGGAATAAATGAATTAAAATGTCCACCAATAGAAATATTTATTTATTGGTATAGGACAAACTTCCATGGCATTGAAAATTACAGGTTATTTTAGAGAATCTGCACAAACATCTTTTGGTGGAACATTTTCGAATGCAATTGCATTTCTTAAATCGTTGATGGCCACTACATAACGACAATTTTCGCACTGCACTTCTTACGCTAATTTCCTGAGATGAAACATCTCCAGGACTGAAGAAATTTTGTTAACGATTACCGTTTCATGAAATCGATTTCTGTAACGTATCAGTGGTATTCGTACTTTTACCAATGTTGTGTGGTAAATCCTAAGATTCAGTGTTTGCGTCCAGTAAAAGTCCGAAATAAAAGCAAAATAACTAGTTTTCGGGCTTTTACTACTTGCTTTTGGTAAATCCTAGGTTTAGCTCGCTTATCCTAGGTTTTACCAAATTTCGGGCATTTACAGTAACATATATATTTAAACAGGTATTTAAAAGTATTTTAAATATAAAAATAATTTATTTGGAAACAGAGATTCAAAAACATTTAAAATGTATTTAAAAGCAAAGTGTACATCAACATGTTTTTTTACTTTGCGTTGCTAATTTGTTCAATCTAATTGAAGATTCTGGCAGTTCAGATATAAGGCTACAACTTTTGTATTCACACTTTTTACGTCTCACCTGTAATAACAGTTGCAGGTGGGTGTCAAAATATGGTGACTCACCCTGTACTTTTTCAAACAGAATCTATTTCTGTTTTTTGGTCCTCGTTGAATTATTAAATTTGGTCATTTTCATTTTTGGTTCCATTTGTATCGAGATTTTTATAATGTATTTGGAATTTGAGCCTTTTGGAAATCAAGACCACCACAACATGTAGGTACCGGGTTATTCAATTATTTTGACCCTCCACCTGCAGCCTTTACCTTTACAGGTAAATGATAGGTGTAATAGTGTAAAAACAAAAGTTGTGCAGTTTTAGCTAAATTTTTAGAATCCATTGTGTAAGTAACAAACAAAAATTTATTTTCAGAAATTTGAAATTTTGCTGGATTGCCCTTTATTTGGTTCTATATTACTGAAGAGCACAATTTTCCAATTTCAGAAATATTATATAGTTTGTCTATATTTGGTTGAGCCGTCTTCAAAATACTTGGCTCTAAAAATTGTAAAAATACTATTCTACTGACTTAGATTTTGTGAACGATTCTACCTGTAAAGGTGAAAGCTGCAGGTGAAATTTGAGTCATTTGGTTCCTCTGATATTTTATAATCTTTGGAGCCAAATATGTTGGAGACGGCTCAACCAAATATAGATAAACTAAGTATATATTTTTGGAATTGGAAAATTGTGTTCTTCAAGAATATATAATCAAATATAGGGCATTCCATTGGAAAAAAGTTGAAAGTACGGAAAATAATAATAATTTTTGAGGATGGATTCTAAAAATTTAGAGAAAACTGCACAACTTTTGTATTTAGCATCTACCTGTAAAGGTAAAGGCTGCAGGTGGAGGGACAAAATATGCTGAATAACCCAGTACATCATTCTTTATAGAAAATAAACGATGAGACCCAACCCACCTCACTTGCATTTTCACAATTTTTCTTTTTCTTACCTGATAAAGTTGTGAGAACACAAAATACAACACTTAATTGATAACAAAGATAAGATAAATCGGAGATAAACATTTTATTTTGTGAATAAACCTTATCTAATTATTAAAATAATCATTTGTGCATTAATTCATAAATAATAAAGAATTCACCAATCACCACTACAAATGAGCAATCCTTTTATTTTAAACTGTAACAACAACAACATAACCTACAAAAATGAACTTGGATGACGGATGACGTCATAGAAAGGGCTGGGCTGCTACAAGGATATACACACTACTAAGAATCGATTGCTTATCAGTTATCGGCCTCGTTTTTGGTAATGGCCGCCATATAAATTAGTGCTGGCAAATACCAAGAATAATCCAAACCGATTAATCGGTTTCTGAAAAAACCGATTTCGGTTAAAATCGATTAACCGAATACGGTTCTAAAATCGGTTAACCGATTACTCGAAATCAGTTAACCGATTACTCGAAAATCAGTTAACCGATTTGGTCAATCGGTTTTCGGTTAACCGGTTTTCGGTTAACCGATTTGGTTAACTCGGTTTGATTTCGGTTAAAAACCGGTTCTCGGTTAACCCTGGTTTAGAGATTAGACGAATTAAAAACCGATTATTCTGTTTATTAATCTAATTTGTGTCACGTGATCAAAGTGGAAAACTAATTTATACTATTTTGTATTTTCTATTTCTACCCTACTGACCGACACGCCAAAAAACAATACCCGAACGGTCGGAGGGCGAAAGGAGTATCACGGAGTGGAACGCAGTGATAGCCGTATTCGATTGACCCAGATTAGATCGATTCAAGTTCAGTTTAAGTGAACCTCTTGTGATCTAGAATCTAGATCTTTTTTTTTTTTAGTGGGGGTGCACTGATCCAACCTCAATCGAACACGACGTAGATCACTTAAATCGATCAGGGTTGGGATCACGACAAGTGGAATTCTGCTAGAATTCTACTCTCATGACGACACCCGCCACCCATTTTTCGCGAGATGATGACGGTTGCTGGGCCACCTGACGTCATGGAAGTAGAATTCTACTCGTCGTGATCCCAGCCCTCATCGATCTGATTTGGTCAATCGAATAGGGCTATGTAATCCTGAGCTGCTTTCCAGTATTGGAGTGTGACGCTCGGAGCTACTCGGAGCGTCGAGCTCTCGAACTGTCGTACGTAAGACAAGCGTGTCACGTTATGAAACTGGAACGGTACAAATCTAGTGCGTGGCGCTTCCGGGGTGCTCCCTTGGTGCTCCAGAGCGCGCCAATGTGCATAAGTTGCCTAGTTCCCTAGTTTTCTGAATATTCATTGAGTTTTGTTTGATTATGTATTTTCAATTCTCGTCTTCAGTCAGTCAGTTTCTGGTAGGTAAGTATTCGGTTTCCGGTAAACCGCAAACCGATTAACCAAAAACCGATTGACTGAAAACCGATTAACCGAAAAGCGATTAACCGAAAACCGATTAACCGAAAACCGATTAACCGAAAACCGATTAACCGCAAACCGAATAACCAGAAACCGATTAATCGAATAACCGATTTTCGGTTTGGGTGAAAACCGCGGTTAACCGAAAAATCGGTCTCGGTTGCCAGCCCTAATATAAATTGTATTTCTGTCGAGACTTTCGGACACTCGAGCTACTCGCTCCGGAGTTAGTCGATCCCGAATTGTAAAGAAGAGATGCATGGTGCAACATACACTTTTCGAAAGGAATAAGCGCGTAACGCCCCGGAGCTGTTCCGCTCCTCCTAGGTGTGAAAGAAGTACAACTATTGGTGTGTCACCATTTCTGACTTCATTAGTTGTATTCCTTTCAAGAGCTTAAAACACTACAGCTACTCGCTCCGATGTTAGTCGACCCCGATTTGAAAGGAACAGATGCGCTGGCTTTCGTGTATTTAAGGGTGGGTATTATAAAACTACTTTGAGAGTTAACTTAAAGTTAACTTCTGGAATTACATGTAATTCAAAAAGTTAACTTCAAGGGCGGGTATTATAAAACTGCTTTGACAGTTAACTTGAAGTTAACTTTTTGAATTACATGTAATTTCAGAAGTTAACTTTAAGTTAACTCTCAAAGTAGTTTTATAATACCCACCCTAATGGTTAAGGGCGGGTATTATAAAACTGCTCTGAGAGTTAACTTGAAGTTAACTTTTTGAATTACATGTATTTTCAGAAGTTAACTTTGAGAATGAGGTATTGAAACTGAAAGGCCTAGGGGCGACAAACTTCTTAATCCGCCACTGGGTTAGGTAGAGGTACCTCTACTCTCAAATAATAGCATAGTAGTAAAAGGAATAAATAGGAAATAAAACGATAAAGAGGTTAAAAATGCCTATAATATTGTGTATAATCAAACTACTTTGAGAGTTAACTTAAAGTTAACTTCTGGAATTACATGTAATTCAAAAAGTTAACTTCAAGTTAACTGTCAAAGCAGTTTCATAATACCCGCCCTAATTCGGGATTGGGCGCTTCAGGTGCAATATAGTTATTTTCCTAACAAGTGCGCAAAGTGTTACTTTTCCGCACGCAAACACAGTTATACGAACGACGCGAAGCGGAGTTCGGATACGTGTTTGCGTGCGGAAAAGACACTTTGCGCACGTGTTAGGAACAAAATTTTTCCTACGAGCTTCATATCAGGTAGGTAATAACAAAAATTTGAAAAAAAAACCGATAATTTGTTTAATTATTTTTAATTAACTTGAAGGGAACCTATGCATTTATCAAAAAATTACATAACAAAAAAAAATAACAGAAAATCCTCGTCAGAGCTGTTCATCTTAAAGCGTTTAAATTTGATGAGAAAGTTTGTAGATTTTTGCATATAAATAGAGAACAAATCTGATGTGTTAAAGTTAATTTATAATTGGTGTTTGTATAGATGTTGGCTGATATAGAAATAGAGGAAAAATTTGTCATCATGTGTCAAAGTCGACAGGTGCACTTATTGTTGCTTGACAATTATAATTACTTTTCGGCACTCAGTGCGGATAAGGCCTGTATCCGCACTGAGTGCGGAAAAGTGTAACTTTGAGCCCGGAAATGCGTGCGGAAAAGTACTACTTTGCGCACGCTCGTAGGAAAAACACTTTTCGAAAGGAATAGGCGCGTGAAGCCCCGGAGCTGTTCCGAAGCTCCTCCTAGGTGTGAAAGGAATAGCTCCGGGGCGTTACACGCTTATTCCATTTAAAAAGAGTTTGTTGTACCGAGTGCTCAAGCCTGACTCAAACCATTTAAATGCATAAAAGCCAGCGCATCTGTTCCTTTCAAATCGGGGTCGACTAACACCGGAGCGAGTAGCTCAAGTGTTTCACGCTCGTGAAAGGAATACAACTGCCATAAAGCGAAAGCTCGCGGAATCATAACCTATGGTGCAAACAGCCTACGTCAAGAAGAGAAAGGACATGTTGCTACGTCACAACTGGTGATTTGGCGTGGTGGTGGATTCGGATTTGTTCCACACAGACCTCATGAGGATAGGCTATCCTGTTGTAGTAGGGTGTATTGTCCTTGGGGCTGCCGAGAGTCGGTTTTTGAATAGGGACTAGGGAGTCTGCGAGTCACCTCCGCTCCGGCCTCTGGGTTGGGCTTAACTCCAGGGTAGACGTGTACAGGGTGCTGCAATTTGGAGTGTTTCAACAGGAAAAACATACTTCCAGACCAGATAGAGGAAAATTGACTAAAACGTCATGGAATCGATTTTCGAGAAACATCGATTGTCAAAAACCGTATCGCGATATCTTCAATGGTACCATTGATACAGGGCGATTTCCGATTTTCCCCAATTATGAAAAATAGCTATAAGTTTTTTATTTATCAATTTTTTTTATTTCTGTAAAAACATTATGGAGACACTTTTTTGAGCACAATCCAGTGGCGGACTGAATTTTTTTCTATATCGCTCCGATTTCGAGATCTAGACCAAAGTTCGATATTTTCAAATGTAACACCCTATACCGGGTGGTCCTCCGGGAATGACATCGATTGCTTATGGGAAAACTGTGAAAGGTAAAAATTTGAAAATTTGGCAACATAGCAATGTCGATGGGGGACATCCAGGTAAAATATTTTCAAGATGGCGGCATTTCCGGTCATACCGGAAGTTGATACCAACTCGGTTATTTTAAATAGAACACCCCATATATTAATGTATTTTTGGATTCTACATAAAATTCTGAGCAGATTTCATGTAATATACCCTATACCTAAGTTCAACTGTTTTGGAAATATTGACAGTTGAAAATTGACTTTTTGCAACTTTGACAAGCTGTAAAACCTAATTGGTTAATTTTAGAGGAAAACCGATTTCACATTCCTATCTTAGATTTTGATAAACTATCATTTGACACCAACTTTGAACTTAAACGGAGATTAAATTTAACTGAAATTTTTAATCATGGATTTAATTCAAAGTTGATGTCAAATGATAGTTTATAAAAATCTAAGATAGGAATGTCAAATCGGGTTTCCTCTAAAATTAATTGTTCAGGTTTTACAGCCTGTCAAAGTTGCAAAAAGTCAATTTTCAACTGTCAATATTTCCAAAACAGTTGAACTTAGGTATAGGGTATATTACATGAAATCTGCTCAGAATTTTATGTAGAATCCAAAAATACATTAATATATGGGGTGTTCTATTTAAAATAACCGAGTTGGTATCAACTTCCGGTATGACCGGAAATGCCGCCATCTTGAAAATATTTTACCTGGATGTCCCCCATCGACATTGCTATGTTGCCAAATTTTCAAATTTTTACCTTTCACAGTTTTCCCATAAGCAATCGATGTCATTCCCGGAGGACCACCCGGTATATTAATAGCTCATTGGATAGCTCTGTTTTTGCAGATTTCAATGATATAAAGTTCGATAGGTTTATCTCTATCAGTTTTCGAGAAAAAAAATTATATCTGTTTTTGTCGTAAGGATCAATGTGTTAGAAAAGAATTTTATATGTGTAAGGAAAATGAGGAAGGTCTCTCTCTAAGGGAGGATTTTCATGCATCCGTTTTTCCGTCGAAATATGTCCGTTTAACATTCTATTTTGACATATTTATATACGATTATGTCAGAATAGAATGTTAAACGGACATATTTCGTCGGAAAAACGGATGCATGAAAATCCTCCCTAACACATTGTTCCTTATGACTGAAACAGATATAATTTTTTTTCTCGAAAACTGTTACAGATAAACCTATCGAACTTTATATCATTGAAATCAGCAAAAACAGAGCTATCCAATGAGCTATTAATATATAGGGTGTTACATTTGAAAATATCGGACTTTGGTCTATATCTCGAAATCGGAGCGATATAGAAAAAAATTCAGTCCGCCACTGGATTGTGCTCAAAAAAGTGTCTCCATAATGTTTTTACAGAAATAAAAAAAATTGATAAATAAAAAACTTATATCTATTTTTCATAATTGGGGAAAATCGGAAATCGCCCTGTATCAATGGTACCATTGAAGATATCGCAATACGGTTTTTGACAATCGACGTTTCTCGAAAATCGATCCCATGACGTTTTAGTCAATTTTCCTCCATCTGGGTCTGGAAGTATGTTTTTCTTGTTGAAGCACTCCAAATTGCAGCACCCTGTACAGCTGCAATGTTTACCCTGGAGTTATGCTTAACACGGGGGCGACTTGCTATTGAGAAACCGGCCCTGAGGGCAGTGATTTTGGGCGAATAGCGATTTGATTTGAGTACCTTTCGCACTTAGTGCATACTCATTGCGTACTGTTTTTGTATGCCGTGAGCCGTGACTTGCTGAGTTCGTTTTTTGCATCGCAGACGCGACAGATTTTTGGTTCTAAGTTCTAACTTCTAACCTCGCTTTTTACCGGCGCTTTTCTTTAAAGATTTTTTTGGATGCTCTCTTTCATTTTTTTTTTGGTGTTTTGAAGTATTTGTTTTCCGTTTACGACGGTTTATGTCTATTTCTGTGGCAATCTTGGTAGCTATTCATCATGGTCATCAAAGGATTTTCTATGATGACGACGACGAGAAGAAGAAGGCGAAGAAGTTGGTCCTTGTGCAAAGGTTGAGGGTTATGCAGAAAAAATCGTGCCACGTTTTTCTAAGATGCAGTTCAAGGAGCACTTTCTGGTTTCAGCGACCTTTGAAGATTTTTTACAAAGGTTCATGATGTGAGCCGGCAGCAAGAATATAAAAGATTGAATTGGACAATTTGGATATCCGGCAATGAAGTTAGAAACTCAATTTCGGGCATTTTTGCAGAAAAATGCCAGAAAAGAAACCCCACTTTTCCGCACAACCTAGTGCGGAAAAGTAAAAATATCCAAAATTGGTGGGTAAGGTATGGGTACCTACAAATATTAACTTTCATCTCGTAGAAAAAATTGTATTCTTAGCTTGTGCGGAAAGTGCTACTTTTCCGCACAAGTTAGGAAACATATCGGGTCTTCAAAAAAAAAAACCAATCGAAGATTGCTTTGACTACGAAAACGTACGTCGCATTACTGTTTCTTTATTCGTCAGGATTTTTGACAAGACATTTTGACATTAAATTCCATTGACTAAATTAAAGACAAATATTGCTAAGACATACGTTTAAAAAACCATAGCAATCTTTGATTGGTTTTTTTTTTGAAGACCCGATACTATTTCTCTTGTGGTATTATAGGTATATGATAAAATGTGGCACAATTGGGGCGTGCTAAAAAAAAAAAAAATACGTCAGCAACAAAACATTATTTATCCCTCCCAGTCCCATGCACTACCTCCCGCTTTTAAATATCTGGCAACCCTATCCCCAAGTCAAATCACCAGTTGTGACGTAGCAGCATGTTATTTCTCGTCTTGACGTAGTCTGTTCAAGCAGCTGACGGCTTAGTTATGACGTCAGAAATGGTGACATGCCAATAGCTGTATTCCTTTCAAGAGTTTAAGACTTGAGCCACTCGCTCAGGTGTCAGTCGCCCCCGATTTGATGCAACAAACACTTTTCGAAAGGAATAAGCGTGTAACGCCCCGGAGCTCCTCCTAGGTGTGAAAGGAATACAACTATTATGGCGGCGATTACCAAAAATGAGGCCGATAAGCAATCATGTAGGTGTCTAGTATCCTTGCGCAGCTATGAGGTGCTTTTCAGTGAGCCACTTGAGTTATTCCTGAGCCGCTTTCCAGTGCCTAAATTGTTAGAGTATCATGCTCCTGAAGTGTGACGCTCTTGAACTGTTCGACATAAGCAGCACTGGAACGCTCTCGTCTTAACCCCCACCATTTCGGATTTCAGGAGCATGAAACATAGGCATAAGGGTTGGTGCACGAGGGGGCAGGGGATAACAGAAATGAGTAGCTTAAGTGTACGACACTCTAAGCACTGGAACGCGCAAAGCAATTGTGGAGCACTCCTGAGCTGCTCAGGAGTAACTCAAATGGGTCACTGGAAAGCACCTCTTTGCGCGTTCCAGTGCTTAGAGTGTCGTACACTTGAAGTACTCATTTCTGTTATCCCTTGCCCCCTCCTACACCTACCAATATTTCGGTGTTTCATGCTCCTAGTCCGAAATGGTGAAATTTAAGAAAATTGAGGTTATTTTTGTTCGGTTTTCCAATTTCTTATACTTTGTCATTGTTATTGTTTTGTTCTTAATAGTTGTATTCCTTTCAAGAGCTTGAAACACTCGAGCTACTCGCTTCGGTGCTTAGTCGCCCCCGATTTGCAGGGAACATATGCGTGGTGCAACAAACATTTTTCGAAAGGAATAAGCTCGTGAAGCCCCGGAGCTCCTCCTAGGTGTGAAAGAAATACAACTTTTGTTAAATATGCTATAACCTGTTCAATTTTTACATTTTAAATAATGGTGAGCTACAAAGAACTATGACGAGAGTGTTCCAGTGCTGCTTATGTCGAACAGTTCGAGACCGTCACACTCGAGCAACAATTTAGGCACTGGAAAGCAGCTATGGCCTTTGGCCGTGTTCGTTTGACATTTCAGTGCTCCGTTGACAGTTGACAGATTGCAAAAAAGAAAACCTTAAAAACAAAATCAGCTGACATTGATGACATCCAACCGAACCCGAACCTCACTTTTTTTAAACTAAACAAAAACTCAAAAACAAAACATCACAACTTTCGACTTTCATTAAAAATAATATTTTTGTAGGTAGAAACTGTAGAAAGTGCTTTGCTATCTTTAAATTGAACGCTACTCTTAAGTCTGAGTCTGAAAACTAGAAAAAATGATTACAGAACCAGATAAAGAACACGTCCTCTCAAAACGTATGTACAAAATCCTAGAATCCCGCATAGAAAATGACCAGGACACAATTGAAGCCCTGAGAGAATTATCAACATTCTACACTGAAAATACTTTACAAGCTAGAAGAAATCTGCGTAGCCAAATAGAAAAAAGAAGTTTAGATATCAATCAGAATTTTTTAGCTTCCTTTAAAGCAGTCAAAGTGAGTTTTGATAGTGTTTACAATGACATTGCGGAAATGAACAAGAGCATTCAAGATATGACCCTTCAATTGCAAAACGCTAAATCACAAACCAAGAAGCTGTTGCAGAAAACTAGCGCCCTTCAAGAAGAAAAAGTAAAGATTGAATTACATCAAGACATCACGTCGTCTTTTCTAAAATCGTTTCAATTACAACCAGAAGATTTGGTGGCTCTATACGGAGATGGACACAAACGTGACGTGCCTATTACCTTTGATACTTTTAGAGCTCTGGAAAAAGTCCAAGAAATACATAGCAATTGCAAGATATTGATGAAGGCTGGCTTACAGACTTTGGCTTTGGATACAATGGAACAAATGACGCAACATAAAGAAGGTAAAAAAAAATACTACTTATATCCTGTTCACAATTTGATGTCCACAGATGCAGGTACATTTTCACCTTTCCCTATCAAATAGCATTGAAAGGTGATAAACTTTACCGGTACCAGTGGACATCAGATTGTGAACAGATAATATTATTTTCCTACGAGCGTGCGCAAAGTAGTATTTTTCCGCACGCATTACAGTTCTCAAAGTTTCACTTTTCCGCACTCAGTGCGGATACAGGCCTTATCCGCACTGAGTGCCGAAAAGTAATTATAATTGTCAAGCAACAATAAGTGCACCTGTCGACTTTGACACATGATGACAAATTTTTCCTCTATTTCTATATCAGCCAACATCTATACAAACACCAATTATAAATTAACTTTGACCCATCAGATTTGTTCTCTATTTATATGCAAAAATCTATAAACTTTCTCATCAAATTTAAACGCTTTAAGATGAACAGCTCTGACGAGGATTTTCTGTTATTTGTTTCTGTTATGTAATTTTTTGATAAATGCATAGGTTCCTTTCAAGTTAATTAAAAATAATTAAACAAATTATCGTTTTTTTTTTTTTTAATTTTTGTTATTACCTACCTGATATGAAGCTCGTAGGAAAAATGTTGTTCCTAACACGTGCGCAAAGTGTCTTTTCCGCACGCAAACACGTATCCGAACTCCGCTTCGCGTCGTTCGTATAACTGTGTTTGCGTGCGGAAAAGTAACACTTTGCGCACTTGTTAGGAAAATAACTATTTCCTACGAGCGTGCGCAAAGTAGTACTTTTCCGCACGCATTTCCGGGCTCAAAGTTACACTTTTCCGCACTCAGTGCGGATACAGGCCTTATCCGCACTGAGTGCCGAAAAGTAATTATAATTGTCAAACAACAATAAGTGCACCTGTCGACTTTGACACATGATGACAAATTTTTCCTCTGTTTCTATATCAGCCAACATCTATACAAACACCAAAAATAAATTAACTTTGACACATTGTCAGATTTGTTCTCTATTTATATGCAAAAATCTACACATTTTCTCATCAAATTTAAACGCTTTAAGATGAACAGCTCTGACGAGGATTTTCTGTTATTTTTTTTTGTTATGTAATTTTTTGATAAATGCATAGGTTCCCTTCAAGTTAATTAAAAATAATTAAACAAATTATCGTTTTTTTTTTTAATTTTTGTTATTACCTACCTGATATGAAGCTCGAAGGAAAAATTTTGTTCCTAACACGTGCGCAAAGTGTCTTTTCCGCACGCAAACACGTATCCGAACTCCGCTTCGCGTCGTTCGTATAACTGTGTTTGCGTGCGGAAAAGTAACACTTTGCGCACTTGTTAGGAAAATAACTATTTCCTACGAGCGTGCGCAAAGTAGTACTTTTCCGCACGCATTTCCGGGCTCAAAGTTACACTTTTCCGCACTCAGTGCGGATACAGGCCTTATCCGCACTGAGTGCCAAAAAGTAATTATAATTGTCAAGCAACAATAAGTGCACCTGTTGACTTTGACACATGAGGACAAATTTTTCCTCTATTTCTATATCAGCCAACATCTATACAAACACCAATTATAAATTAACTTTGACACATCAGATTTGTTCTCTATTTATATGCAAAAATCTACAAACTTTCTCATCAAATTTAAACGCTTTAAGATGAACAGCTCTGACAAGTTAATTAAAAATAATTAAACAAATTATCGTTTTTTTTTTTAAATTTTTGTTATTACCTACCTGATATGAAGCTTGTAGGAAAAATTTTGTTCCTAACACGTGCGCAAAGTGTCTTTTCCGCACGCAAACACGTATCCGAACTCCGCTTCGCATCGTTCGTATAACTGTAACACAAAGTAACACTTTGGGCACTTGTTAGGAAAATAACTATATTCGTTCACAATCCGATGTCCACAGGTACAGGTAAAATTTATCACCTTTCAATGCTATTTGATAGGGAAAGGTGATAAATTTACCTGTACCTGTGGACATTGGATTGTGAATAGGCCGGCATAGACACACGTTCTTTCGCGCGGTTTATCGTGTCATCTGCAAAAACCTGTGAAAAATCATGTGCGTGAGTGAGGAGGGCTACACGCAATGATAGAATGGGAAGGGATTTCGAACGTGCTTTCATCTGGAATGTGACGTGTGCAGTTCACAACAGTGTCCACACGCCATTCCACGTCACGGTTTTGAGGCTAGTACGGAGACATAAACGCCGCGTAGTGAACTATCACGTTGAAAATTAGTACATGACAACATGCACTTCCAAACGACACGATAAATGACACTTTTTACCCATACACATACGGTTTTTCCTTCCCAAGTGATATACCGCTCGTAATCACGTGCTAAATCATTTGAATACTTTGTCAAGTGTATGGAACATGACGCTTTTTTTGCCACGCCGTGCAAATCGCTACATCCCAACACGCCACGATAAACCGCGCGAAATAACGTGTGTGTATGCCGACCTAATAGGATATAGTTATTGTTCCTAAAGCAGGGTCCACACCTGTTATATAACACAACTATACAGGGTATCCCCGTTCAACTGGTGGTCAAAAATGCTAGGGTATAGTATATAGAGGAAGAAAGGAAGGAAAATTCCCTTTCTAAAAATGACATAAAAAATCCAGGTCCGTATTTAAAAAAATGAAGTTGATGATGGTAGCTCGATCACGAAATGTCGGATTTAAAATTTGAAGATGCCATGTTGTAGAGCGAAAAAAATTATAATATTTTCAAATTTAAAATTTAAATTGTGTCTAAAATCTGTTTTTTTTTTAAAGATAATTCCCCAAGTCAAAAATTTAGTAACTATGTTGACAACACAACTCTTTTCTACATGAAAAATTTGATAGCATTGACAATTTTACATTGCATTGCCAACCTAATGTCAGTTTGACTTTTATCATTAAAAAAAAAACGCACTTTATGTAGAATATCCATAGGGCATTCCAATGATCTGTCAAAAATGGTGTCTTTCAAAAGTTAGCCAGGGCAGGCAAATGTTAAAGGTAGTATTAGGGAAGAACGAAGAACGCGACAACGTTAAATTTTATGAAATACCATCGGAACTGAATCGAAAACATCCTGATAAAGTTAAACAAAACGAATTATTTAAAATCACAAGATAACGCTAGTTAAATGCAATCAAATGTGAAGATTTAACTGGCAGTAAATTGAAATATGCTGTTGTTTGTTCGAGATATTGATGTCTGTCAACCTAGCGTGACAACCCCAGCAGAATTCGAAAAAATTTGGTGGAGAATTTGTTGCTATTTAGTTGCAAATTATTTACCATATTTTTGATTTTTTTACTCCTGCCGATTTTGAAAAAATGCGACTCTGCTAGCTTGATATCAAGCTAGCAGAAAAAAAAAATCAATTACTCAGCAGAATAAAAAAAGAATAGTGGGGAATTTGTTGCTATTTAGTTGCTAATTATTTACCATATTTTCGATTTTTTTTCTCTTGCCGATTTCGAAAAAATGGGATTCTGCCAGCTTGATATCAAGCTAGCAGAAAAAAAAATCAATTTCTCAGCAGAATAAAAAAAGAATAGTGGGAAATTTGTTGCTATTTAGTTGCTAATTATTTACCATATTTTCGATTTTTTTTCTCTTGCCGATTTCGAAAAAATGGGATTCTGCCAGCTTGATATCAAGCTAGCAGAAAAAAAAATCAATTTCTCAGCAGAATAAAAAAAGAATAGTGGGAAATTTGTTGCTATTTAGTTGCTAATTATTTACCATATTTTCGATTTTTTTTCTCTTGCCGATTTCGAAAAAATGGGATTCTGCCAGCTTGATATCAAGCTAGCAGAAAAAAAAATCAATTTCTCAGCAGAATAAAAAAAGAATAGTGGGAAATTTGTTGCTATTTTGTTGCTAATTATTTACCATATTTTCGATTTTTTTTCTCTTGCCGATTTCGAAAAAATGGGATTCTGCCAGCTTGATATCAAGCTAGCAGAAAAAAAAAATCAATTTCTCAGCAGAATAAAAAAAGAATAGTGGGAAATTTGTTGCTATTTTGTTGCTAATTATTTACCATATTTTTAATTTTTTCAATCTTGCCTGTTTCGGAAGCGATTATACCGAGCTAAGTACCAGAAAAATGTTATGTATTATTTCTATTTTTAATCAAGTTTATAATACATGAAAATCTATGACTACTTATTTTCAGATAATAATTAGAGGAACCAACTTTCGAAAAATCAAATTTTTGATCTATTTAAGTATTGTTCATCAAACAGAGCAATGCACGAACAAAAAACGATAATTACAATATACAAAAATTGTGAGCTGATGATTATATTTTTAACTGTTTAAGGACGGTTTATTCATCCTTTTGGTTGCGGTTGCCGATTTTAGTGCCCTTTAATCAACCTGAATTGATTTTTTTTTCTTAAAAAAATACTGATGCCAATAATAATTAATCCAATTGAAAATTACAGTGGATTTTCAATATACCGCCCGTCGATGCAATAACCTATTATAATATAATGATCCATATGGGTCTGAATAGCTGTACAATACAAAACAAAATAATTCTGCTGACGGTAAACAAATATTTACCACTCAAAAAGAGTGGTAAATATTTATTTACCGCCAGCAGAATGAATTTAGATCAAAATATAGATCGATTTAGACCATTATGGAGACTTCTTGCCTGGTAAATATTTATTTACCGCCAGCAGAATGAATTTATATCAAAATATAGTGCGATTTAGACCATTATGGAGACTTCTTCACTGGTAAATATTTATTTACCGCTAGCAGAATGAGTCTATATCATAATATAGACCAATTTAGACCATTATGGAAACATGTTGACTGGTAAATATTTATTTACCGCCAGCAGAATGAATTTAGATCAAAATATAGAGCGATTTAGACCATTATGGAGACTTCTTGACTGGTAAATATTTATTTACCGCCAGCAGAATGAATTCAGATCAAAATATAGATCGATTTAGACCATTATGGACACTT